TGTGTGTGTGTGTGTGTGTAGGAGCCTGTTCACATTATAGCGGTGCATGAATCATTCATTTGAATGGCGCTCCAAAGTACCTCCATGGGGCCGTGCATTGCACCTCAATACCATGCGTTGTGAAAAAAAAGTAGTTACGGGTTAACTTCAGAGTTAACTAAGCTCAATCTGCTGGCATTTAGATTGTCCTGCAAGCAGGAAAATCAGTGTGCAATATGAGGCTGTGCAATCATCATATTCTAACAGCAGTGGATTTTGCTGCCATCATAAGGAGAAACTGGAAAATGTGTGAAAAGGAGACTAAAGTTCTACCTCCTTGTTCAAATGAGTACAAAATATTACTGTGCAATATTTCATAATTAACTGACCAAATAGAATATATTTTTATTTTTAATCATGACCATAACTCAAGAAAAAAAAAAGAGTACACTATATATTTCCTTTTAACTGCTGCTAGTCTAGTATATAGTAGTAATTTTTATGGTTGCCATAAAGTTTGCCTACCTATATAATTATAAGATGACAGCATTGTATTTTCTCATCTTTCTCATGGTGGTTTGATTTGTCCGCTAATCAATAAGGTGCAGCTACAAATCAGCAATACAAGCAAAATTCTTTTACTACTTTCCTTTCAAGTGTGCTGAGACTTTTACTTCTAAAAATGACCTCTTGGCTTTTTACCTTACTTACATCAGAGCTTGCAAGATTCTGAATTTTGAACACATGCCATCAGCAAATTGCATCCAATAATCCCTCCACCTGAGTTCTTAGTACTGCTAACTACACAAATAATTGAGACACAGACACACACACACACACACACACACACACACACACACGAGGATCTACACAGGATTTGTGTTGTCTTTTACTGCTGGCAATACACCTATAGATTATCTGCAGATTTTCTATGGTCAATTGGAAAAATTGCAACAGATTCCTCCATCTGCGCTAAACGTTGTGGATGGAGAAATCTCCCACTGAGCCAAGCTTCAGTATCTTGCTAGTCAGCCCCACTGGCTCTCAAAATACCTGAACAATGCCTGCATCCAATCAGATTGTTTAGGTATTTTGACAGCCAGCGGGGCCAACTAGCAAAATACTAAAGCTTGGCCCAATGGGAGATTCCTCCATCCACACAGTTTAGCGTAGATGGAGGAATCTGTAGCACATTTTCCATTTGACAATAGAAAATCTGCAGATAATCTATAGGTGTATGGCCAACTTAAGTTGCCCTACATGCTCGTAGCTTGGATCTCCAAAAGGGTGTCCAGAGTAGCAGCAGAGACTTGAAAGCCTGGACTACAGGCATCAGTATGCCATTTGCCTCCATGGTCGATGTATAATCCTTTTAACACAGGCTTCCCCAGGCTGTTTATGCTAATGCTTCAGATTGCTGGTCAATTGACGTTCCATCCCTCATTACTGCTCTGCACATGTATGGAGTTGTTGCAGAATGCCGCCCCACTTGGCGCAAAACTCCCAACGTAGTTTGTATTCCAGCAGGCAGCTATAAGTAGCTTCTAGTAGCTCTGGAGGTGGCTGCCCTGCATCCTTCCCTTATGTGGCCTTATTCACTCTTATTGGACTGTAGTGTTTTTGGAAATTGTGTTCTGGGTAAGTAATTTCGTTCCTAAATCGAACCCTGTGGCTTTCAGCTGATGTTTAATGTAAGGAGGGTGGGACTGTGAGCAGGTTTATCTATAAATTGGTAGTGTTTCCTAGTTGGCTTGGATATTGACTGCACTAAAGATGTCGTCTTCAGTATTTGTCAGCAGCAGGGGAGGCATAAGGCTTAGAAAGTAGAAGTCCACCCCTTTATTAATATACTATTAAAACAATCCTTTAGGTTATGAACAATATGCATGTCTTCAACATGTTTTAAGTTATTATGCAAGTCAACTGAAGTTTTTAAAATGGTTTTTTTTTTTCTTTTTAGTGAGTTTCCACACACCAGCTTTAAAGTTGTACATGGATTGGTAGGAATTTGAATCAGGTGCACATAGATTGGTAGGGAGATATGGGCTTAGGCCTGGTTCACACCTAGGCGTATTGCATATGCGCGGTTGTCGCGCGGTTTTTTACCGCAATTCGCGGTAAAAAAATTGCGCGTTTCCGAGGGCTACTTGGCTGTATCCCAACGGAAACGCGCAACAAAAACGGCCCAAAGTAGTATATGTACCTTTTTAGGCGTGGGCCGTTTTGTAGCGCGTTAGGGACGGGCTGAAATACACCAAGGTGTGAACCAGACCCATTGAAAACAATGGGATTTTCATGTTTCAGCGTTTTGTAGAGCGTTCGTCGAGCGTAGAACGCGCTACAAAGCGTTCAGGTGTGAACAAGGGCTTACTTGTGTGGCCAACAACAAAACAGCGATCTTGTACAAATCTCTGGTAGGGAACAGGGCAATGACACTGGTTTTGGAAAATGTTAGGTTCTGAAGAGTTGTCACCTTTTTTGTGCTATGGAGCCATGTTGCATCAGAGGCATTGGTGAAGTAAAAGCGCATATGTATGAGGCTGGCCGCACAAATATGTTCTATGAGGGAAGATCAGTTTGCATCCTGTCAGACAGGCCTTTATGCCAAAGTTGTTTGGTAAATTCTACAATTAGAATGTGTAACCTACTTTATTTTAGAAGTCCTTGTGAGGTAAAACTGTTCATAAATGTGTCTTTTTTTTTTTTTTAGTTGGCGTTTGCCTTTTCATGGGTTCCGCCTAGTTTTTTCTTTGGTGTGTGTGGTTTGTCTGACTGTGGCAAAAACATTAGATCTAATCTTCACAGCAGTCATTGCTGTACATTATTCTCATTATTGTATAAAACGGTCAAATATGTAGGTGATCTAAATGAGTTAGGAAGAGGAATTAAATGTTGTCTCTGCTTTCAGATGCTGATTCAGAAGTTCGCAAGGAAAACCCAGAGCGTCTTTTGTAGTGAGATATCAGAATCAACCACTCATGTCGTCATAAAAACAGGTGAATTTACTACAAATATCTAATTGTCACATTATTTGCAGCACTCATTGCCATCACACCAATTTCAGAAGCTTTACCGACACTTGTGACAGATTCAGGTAGTTCTTAATGACTTTAACAATCTGTCACTTTGGCTGCTATGTCATAATGTCAGCCAGCATCCCCCTGTCTCTTTGTTTACATTTGGATATTACATCAGGTCTGCTCTGCTACTGATTGGCAGTGAGTGGATTTTATAGTTAATAACCAGCCTGCTATTGGCTATGGAATCTGTTTGATGTTAGCGGTAGAGTGGACCTGATGGGGTTTCCAACAGGCACATGAATCTGTGGCAAGCACAGACATTTGTTGTGTAAAATAATGAAAGTATTCTAAAGAGTGTTGTAGACATTCTTTATGAATTCCCCCGCACTATGTTCAATAAATAAGATTTGATGTTGGTAAATTATATATCTAGTTGGGATTTAAAATGATTATTGTTACAAAGAGGTTATTATAAAAACAGAACTGATCTGTATGAAATCTTCAGGCTTGATTGGAGATATGCAAAAGGGTACAGTGTCATTTCAGAGCTTATTGTGTCTCGTTATTGAATTTAGGAGTAGGGAGCAAAATTATAATGTTTTACAGTTTTGTCACCTTCTATATAATGAGCAGGGGGTGTGGAAATTAAAAAAAATAACTACTTGTCCAAGGCCTAAAGCGGGGGCCAAATCCTTCTTGACAATCTACTTGTCCCAATACAAAAAAATAGTTTTAATCAGAACTAAGGATGCCCCAATAACGTTTTTTCGGTATCGAGTACCGATTTTTTGCTTTCAGATTTCGCCGACACTGAATACTAATATTGGTGCTTTCCTGGTAATCAGGAAGCCGGGCAGCGGTTAATGACATCCCGCCCAGGTTCCTGATTGCCATTGAAGCCGGCTCCATGTTGTTTGGCCTGCTTCATGTTGTTTGGCCTGCTTGATTGTGATTGGCTGGGAAACCTGCTTGCCGGTCAATCAGGTCATTACTCGCCACCCGGCTTCCTGATTGACCAGGAAGCAGGCTAGATGCTGATTGGCCAGGAAGCCGGCTTTCCAGCCAATCAGAAAACCAGGAGGCGTGTCATTACTTGCCGCACGGCTTCCTGATTGCACGGGAAGCTGGCTCCATGTTCCCCCTACGGCACTGCCAGTCAGAGGAAATTTTCATCTGGCCGTAAGTTCCAATATCGGGGAAGGTATCGGAGCATTTGGGTGAGTACGAGTACTCGCCCAAATACTCTGTATCGGTGCAGCCCTAATCAAAACATATTTGACTGCTAAATAGCGCTTCTCACTGGTCAGCGCAGTCATCTGACCACGTTGACCAATGAGTGCTTGCAATTTGCGAGCGAAATTCAAAATGCATAGGGGAGGACTGCGCTGGACAGCAGTACGGGGGACAGATAGTACACCCATACTGGCGGAGGGGAGGGATTGTTCGCCGAAAGGTAAGTATAGCCAGGGGGGTGGCGGTTTGGGAGAGACAGGGCCAGATTTCAT